AAACACGAGAGGAATTTTCTTTTGTCATTTCCTACTAACATCGTTTTCCCTTTTGCGCCTACCCTCTCATAAATAACTTATCCAATTTATGATCAAAGGGTCAGGTTTGTTCCTGGTGTTTCACCATTGCAAAAGTATGCTTTGCAAAGCAAGATTAAGCTCTGGATCGTCCACCTTCTGGCAGGTGGAATTGAAGGTGTCCAGAATAACTTAAGGGTTGTATGACTTGTTTAAAACCTAAAATATCTCCTATATATGATGTTATCTATGCAAATATTTAGATACTTAAGGTACTACCATCCAGGCTTTGGCATGAAGAAGTTGGATTTAAATGTAAGTTTTGTTAACTTTGTGTTTTTCTAAAATGAAAAAAAGAAACAAAACCAGAAAGATCTCAACTAAACTGAAGGTTTTGTTAAAATGAATCTACTTTTTTTTCTGAGAATCAGTAAATTACACAGGTATATCATTAGATCTATAACACCCACAGCATCTTTATGGTATGAAAGCCCTATTAGCTGGTAAAAATGTTAAGAAAACTTGAGTATTTCCTTTCTATCAAATGATTCCTCAAAAGCTGCCTATTTTGGGGCTGTCTTATGCACATGCAGTGTTAAATGAGGCAACTACATAACACTACAGTATCATTCTCTCTCTCTCTTGCCAATGTCTCGTTCTACAAGTTTAGGCTTTGCTCTGGTAGTGGGCTCTGTTGATAGCATTTGCATCGTCCACTCTGTAAGCATGGTGTAAAGAAATAATACCATTTCTACATCTTCTGTTTCTTCATCCTTCTATAAATAGCTCATCCAGCCTTGCTTCTGTAAAAGCATGTATGCGTTTCAGTGATACTATTTTTTCGTCTCTGACAAATGTTCTAGCAGGGTGAGTTTGTGACCTTAAGTTTCAACTGTGACAAGGAAGTTCAGGTGTTTTGTTCTGTTCCCCACCCTCCTAAGGGTGCCTCTGACAAACCTTCATTTTCATAGCATAATGGCTCTTATTCACCTGGGTGAGTCACATCAGGGATGCACAGGATTCCCAGCTGTTCCTTTTTCTTTCAGTGACTTGTTGCTTATATCAGTTTACTCCTCCAACTTTTGTTTTAACTTGAGGCAAGCAGGGATTTTCCTGTCTTCTTTGGGTCTCAGGATTCCAAACATAAAATTCTGTTACAGGATCCTGTTGCCAGTGTTGGCAGTTTAACCAGTCCGTGTCACTAGTGCATAAGAACCTGAAAGACTGTATTGGGCAGACTAACCAGTGGCACAAACCACCTTGTCCAGGCTGAAAGTGTCAGAGCTAAACAATGACTGTGGACCATGGGAAGTGCATTTTCAAGCTTTATCTGTCTAGTAGACTGACAGTGACTTTGAACCCAAGAGTATGGGTAAGCCGATGACAAAAGCCTGTCAGAACACAGTGTGCTTCATGTTCCCTGTCACCAGAGTGCAGTGACAAGTTAATGGAGGGAACTGGGTCATCAGATTTTGAAAAGGAGGGGATTTGCTTTGGGAAGAGAAGTGTGGGAATCTGTGGAGGTGGCTACCATTGTGAAAGTCCACTTCTGATAAGATCTTTGATCTTAATGCCTATACAGTCTTGGGTCACAGTAACTCCTGCTGTACCGTAGTGCATTCACCTGTTCAGTAGTGAGAAAAAACTTTCAAATTATTTCATTTTGTCTCCTAAAGACACAGGTACCTTTCTCTTTTTTCTTTGTCTTAAATCTTTCCCAGGAGGTTGGTGTACATTATTTAGTTGTATCCTCATTTGGTGGATCAAACCAAGCTGTAGTTGGCATAAAAATCAGAACAGGTGAAGGATGGGAGAAATTTCTGATGTCCGTGCATGGGGCAAGTGTAGAAGCTATCTGTGTGTACAATGTATTAATAAAAATGTATCTAGTGTATCACTTCATTCATCAGAACATGATGGTGGTCTTGAATCTAGCACAAGACAAGACATTTTAAGGGCCATGATAACCTCACTTGACACCTCTAAGGCTGTATTTAAGGAAGAGCAGTGTAATTACTGCCTTTCTTATGTAGCTTGAGATGTTGATGGTGAGTTGTTTCAGCTTGTGCCAGTTCCTTTGGATCAAATTTGCATCTGGTCTGGTCGTGCTGTTTATGCTTGTTGCAGGGGTTGCTGTGACTGGCTGGGAATGCTAGTGGAACAAGCCTCATCCCAGCAGAGCGTTTCTGCCCCCTTGTTTCCTCCAGTGGAGAGAAGTGATATAATTGATGCCATTTACAGTGTCCAAGGACTAACCTATACTGGAGATTAAATAAATGATTAAATAAATGCCTCATTTATTAAATAAATAGCCCATTTACTTTAAACCTGGCAAAATGCAAGCTGACATGCTTTATCACCTCTGCTCGGTGTATACAGCTGTCATGGACTTCCCAGTGTCAGTACTGGTGTGTGTTGTTTTGCTTCTGCAGCATCTCATCTCCCACCTGCACTATTGCCATGACAATTAAGGTAATTCAAAACCAGGGCTCATTTTGCAAACCTGTGTCATTCAGGTTTTTGTTTTGCAAACTGATTCCAGTTTTTATTCCAGGATTTGTAGGCAATAGCAATGTACAATATCATCTCTATTCAGTCTTGGGATTAGTAAATAATAAGTAGGGATCGGTCACTTTCAGAATGTTTCATAATCACAAAATCAATAAAAATAGGTCCAAAATGTGCTGTTCTTTTGTGGGTCATCTAATAGATGCTTTAACAGAACAATCTGTATTGAGTCAGGCTTTTCTTGTTTGTAAAAACAGAAAACATATGATGCAACCCCAAAAAGCAATTTAACTCCACCCCAGTAGCGTCAGATTTATCCCTGGAAAAGTCAGGGACAATTTTGTCATGCCTTAAAATGCCTCCCTTGCAAAGCACACACTGCTCGTCTCTCGTGCTTTCACAATCCTCCTTCTAATTCCAGCTGTGACCACAGTGTGGTTTGCTTCAAACTTCCGTTTCAGACTTCATCAACTTTTTGTGTGCTGATATCCCTCAAGTGACAAAATAACATCTGCAGGGAACACTGAGGCAGATGGTCATGCTGGAACTCAGTTGTCCATGAGTGCTGTAATCAGGTTGAAGACTAGATGGGGCAAATTTGCAGAAAATATAGAACTAGCCATAGAAGTACACTCTGAGACCTGGGCCGGGCTTACAAGTTAAGACATAGATTCTCACCCACATTTCCAGTGAGCAGCTCAGCTCTGAAGCACTCTGTAGTTTTGTATTTCATGAAGCTTGGCCACTAAATGGTGGCTGTGTGCAGAGCCAGCATGTATCCAAGTGTATCTTGGAATCTACAAATTCAAAAATTAGCCATCCTCAAAGAGCTTCATGCAGGGTCAGCTCACATCTGCTGGAGGCTCTGCAGAGCCAGATTTTCTGTGTCACATTGCCTAACTTCTCAGAGCACAGAGACAGCCCAGCTCCATGTACAGTCAGTGTGGTACAAGGAGTGCAGAGACACTCTCAAAGCTCTGCCAGAGTTAGCTCAGGTCTGGCAGAACCCAGGCGGGCTCTGTGCAAAATATGTTCTTTACTGGCCATGTAAAGGTTTTTCCAGAAGCCATATGACCCTTGCTCCTCATCTCCTGGCTGTTGGAGTGTTACCTGGCTGCGTGATAGATACTTTGCACATTCTTTTCCAAGTGAATGTCATTCCTACGTTAGATATTTAATGAGAAAAAATAATGAAAACACTACTTCACTCTACCCTCTTAGTGTTGTTGCTGAAACTGTTCTTCTGCCATTTATATTTGACTTTTTTAATGAGCTCTCCTCCATGATGAAGGTAAGATCATCTTCCTGACTCATCATTCTTGTTGAGACGCTCCAGCCAAGCTTCTGTGTTCCTCCATTCATCTCCCTTTGTCCATCACAGTGAACACAGCTTTCTTGTCCCATCAATTGTACTTCACTTTGCCTATATTATTGTGACAGCAGTTTGTGCAGTGCAAGTGAGGTAAGGTATTCACTTGCCTAATTTTTTTCTTCTGTTCCCTGATTACAGCCTTACTCACAGGGGAAATGCTCAGTCAGAATCCACACGCCACTCTCTTTTCTTCCCCACAGATCATCCTGTAAGAGTTCCTTCTGCCTTGGTACCTGCAATGCACAGCCAGGCAACCAAAGACTAGAGAGCTGGCAAGTTGAGATGATTCCTTACTGTTCAAAGCTATTTGTTATCTCAGTCTCTTAACACCGCTCTTTTGTTTGTTGCGTTTTTTATTTTGTCCTCCTTCGCTGTGAGTTGGGCAGGAAGGATACTGCCTTTGCTGGGTAGTTGGAGCACCTTATTTGCTTGGAGACTTCAGGCACTAATATTAGATAATTAACATGCAATAAAGAAGGCTCTCTAGTGTTGCCTTATCATTTATGTTCATTGCTGAGAGGAAGGAAAGGGGAGAGTTATCATCAGTTATGGAGAGTGGAATAGCTTTTACCTTCCAAAGCAGAAAAATATGGAGAACACTTTTGTTTGTCTATCCATGTAAAATCCTAATTAAAGATTTTGTATACATATGTAGGCACTCAACAAAAAATGGAAGAATCTTGTCCCTGGTTTTTATTTTCACATCCAGAGAGAATTTAAGAACGCCTAAAATGTTTTCCCCACATTTCCTACAAAAAAGGAGGTATTTTTGTCCTCTTTGCAAGGGAGAGAAAAAGGCAAAAAATTAATCTTCAGAATAAACTATGTCAAAAGTTGTTACAGAAAAGGGAAGCTTCTTGCCACAGCAGCTGCTTTGCTGCCTTAACAGCTGCAGTATTTATTAGTATTAGTCACAGCTGGTTTGCACCCTTGCTTTTTCTTGCATTACCCCACATGCACAGGATACAAATGAAAAACCTTCATTAGAATTTAATGTCATATAGCTTAATAACACACTTCTAGCCTGTTCTTTTGTACGTTTTGTGCCTTAAAACTTTCACAGTTTAATGAGATTTAATATTCCCTGTGCTTATTTCTGCAGGCACCCTAGACAAGCATGTAGAACTAGAAAAACTTGTGGCCACGTTCCTTGGTGTTGAAGATTCCATGGTGTTTGGCATGGGCTTTGCAACTAACTCGATGAATATTCCAGCCCTTGTTGGAAAGGTGAGGACTTCCTAAAGGAACACGTAGAACAATCGTTTATTGATTGTTTTAACTCCTGTTACAGAATTCTGGGCGCTCACTGAGTGGAAAGGCTTGATCGAGGAACAAAGCTTGGTATCAGGAATGTGTGAGTCACAAGGCTGATGACCTTGTGACCTTAAATATGCTCCTTCACCACTTTTGCTAGTGCTGAGTGTTGCTATCACACATATCTAATACTTATTTAAGGATCAGGGATATGGCTGTTTAGCTCCTCTTGATGAAGTTGCTTCTCCCTAAAAAGTAAGCGAACGTTGTATCCCTTGACCAGGTGTTGTGGGAGAAAGTATTTGGGCTGCTGGCAGAGATATTGCCCAGCTGCCTGTGGTGACAGATGACTATTGGGATAGTTTATACAACACTTTCAGGAAACAAAAAGCACAGTGCTTTACCATTCCTGATGAACAGAGCTCCAGCCAGCTCTGCCAAGAAAGCTGGCAGCAAACGCAAGTCTAAAGTCATGACCATATTATAGAAGTTGGGTTCTTATTTGGTGCTGAAGGGACTTCATCTCTGATTTGGGGTAACTAACACAAAGGCATGAATATCCATCATCCTGTCAGTCCTGGACATCACAAGCAGAGACGCTGTGCTGGGAAAGCTGGGAGCTCCTCCTTAGTTCATCGAAGTGTGGAACAGAATGAATTCACAATGATCAAAACTTCTGAAACAGCAGCATAAAGGTGAAGACACTTCTTCACTCACTGTTGAAGATGAATGCAGCTTTTCCAAGAGATTTCTGAAATATGTGTATACAAGTGTTGGGCAGGGAGAGCTGCTTCAGCTACTCAGAACACGAACTTCAGTCTGCAGTGGTGCTGGAGAAGTTATCCAGCACTTTCAAAGGGAACAGATACCGAGAATTAACAAAAGCAAATTTATGAAATTGCAAAGGTAAATTTATGGAATTGCAGACATACATAATAGCTTAAGATACTTGTCCCTTGCTTTTAATAATTTTCCCTCACTTACCTGGCCTTATGTGGAGACTCAAGCTTCTGTCAGACATGGGATATTTATATAAAAGTGGCACAAATAAAGATATTACTGGATGTATGATATATATATTTAACAATTCAGTGTGTATTATTATATAATATTATTATATATTACAGATATTGTGTAACTGCCCTATGTTTGGGAGATTTTTTCCCTGTGTTTTCCTCTATAATTAAGCCTAGCAGCTACATTTTCTTGTCAAGATGCATATACACTTACTATTAGTGCTTCATACCAGTCTCCAGGCAGACTGTGTGAGTATCTCTCAACCTAGGCCTAATCCATGATTCCAAAATAAGTATTTACTTAATGTTGTGTTGCCCTTTGGGTAATGAAACCACAGCACAAGATGTTTAATAGAAAGCAGAGCTAAATTAGGGTTCAGGCCTGAATTTCAGCTATGAGTCCTGTTAATGTAATATACAAATTTACTTCTCCTGCATTTCTATTTTAGTTTCTAAAAACAAAATGAGTTTTCAACTGAGTTAATTAATAAAAAGTATACTCCAGGTCAACTGTAAATGCATTTACCAGAGAAAGGCTCCTCCTAGTGCCTAAACTTCACTCACATCTTAATGGAGGTGGGACTTACAGTCTCTCCTGATCTCATTTCTGCAGTGGAAAGTGCTGATGTCAGTCCAGCCTTTTTTTTTTTTTTTATTACTCCTCCTTACACTACTACTGTCATACACTTTATATATGGGGAGGTGGCTGCATTTTCCTTACAACTCAAAATAGACTGTAGAGAGGCGATAGAGGAAGCGACATCTCTGGATTTTACTATAAAACAGTCAACCTTCAGTAGGGTTATTTGCTACTTTTCAGTTACAGGAGAAATTTGATCCTGCGAACCACCTGAGAATGTGCCTGAGAATCTGACCCCACAGTTTCTGCCTGCCTTTGCGGTGCACCCTGGCACTTCAGAAAAGTGGCAGAAAATCCAGTTCATGTTTAATACTTACAGCTTAACTGGTGCAGTTCTTTATCACAGATGTGTGTTTGTGCTGACACACACATGCACACGTGTCAGCAGCCTCCCAGTTCGTGCAGGTACTTATTGTGCTCCTTCTCCACAGGGCTGCCTCATTTTAAGTGATGAGTTGAACCACACTTCTCTCGTTCTTGGTGCGAGGCTTTCTGGTGCCACTATTAGAATCTTCAAGCATAATAGTGAGTATTGAAGTTGGAAAACTGTAGAGACAGAATTGTTCACACCTCAAAGGCAAGAATGCTTTCTTTCAGTGCTTACTTTGCTGTCAGTTCTCAGGCAGAAAGATTAACTGTTGAATGTTATGAGTGATTTCTGATGGGAAAAATTAAGAGTGCAATACTATAATTACTATTGCGTATGATTTGTGTCATCAGGTTGGACCTTAATTTCATAATTCAGTGTCGTCTTAATCTCGTTGCTGTCTTTTTGACATTCTGAATGACTGCGTGGTGTCATAAAGGGTTTATCGTTATTGTCATTATAGCTCAGGCAGTAAAAACACACTTGCAAAAACATGCCTCTGTTTCCAGCAAGTTCAGTGCAACCAGAGTTCCATTCACATGGCATTACTTTGAAGCAGTTATTCTGAATTTCCAGGGATCTAATACCAAAGATGTAGATGGTTGTATCAAAAGCATCATCTCAAATATTCTCTGAACTAGAATTTTAGTATAGAAATCATGCATTAACTTTGCAATCATATAGTTATCTTCTAAAATGCTCATGCTTTTTAAGTTTTATTTAGTTAATGCTGCTGTGGTTACTGTCAGAGACATTGGGACTGCTTTGATGACGAGTTGTTCTTTTCCACTGTTCCCCATTGCAATTCCCCTTTCCATCCTCACTGCTGCCACCAGGCAGTGATTGCAACAGAGGTTTAGAAGCTAGAGAAGTGGTGAGGAATAAGAAGAGAGATCTGATTACCTTTGTAAATAGCTAATACAGTCCCTTCTCTTCATTAAGTGTTGTGTTCAGCCCCAAGGGGAGCAAAAATGCGTATGTTGTAGAAGGCCTAAGGATGAGGTGGAAGGAAAAATACACTATAATTATAATGTAAGATGTTGTTATAATTAATATCTATTCATAATTTGGGCAAGAAACAATTTCTGAAGATCATTCAAGAATTAAAGGTCACCTGAACACAAATATTTTTACAAAAGTAATTATTCTTAGATTAACCTGTAGCAAAACCCAGCTTGGTTCACTTCCACAAATCTGGATACACTAAGCATGGTTTTTGTACCAGTTTTGTGGGGCTTTTTTTCTTTTGTTATTCAAAACCTTATTCCATTCAAAATAGGTTTGCATCACATCTTGCAGGATGACCTCTCACTACCCAAATCCAAATGTTCTCGGTCTCTCCACCCATCCATGTTGCGTGCAGCCCAGCTGGCTTGGGTCACTTCCACAGCATTTCAAAGAACATTCCAGTTTGAGGAGTGTATTACTGTCAACTATGAAGACATCACCTGGAGCTGTTATCCTCACTCTAAGGAATTTGGTCTCTAACCATCCCTCACTATTTCATTCCCCTCCCCAGAACCTGATACCTAAGCAGCCTCTGCTTGTGCTTATGATAAATTAAAGCTGATGCTCTTTTGAATAATGTGTGAACCTAAAAATAATAGTAAGCTATCCAAAAAGCATTAATCCAGCACTGGAAAATGTAGACAGTTCCTTTAAGGGTCTCAGCAAACCTCAGTGGAAACCCATCCAGTCTGAACCTAAGCTGCATTTAGAGAGCACTTCATGTGGAGAAGCTTACACACTTTCTCTCAGCCCACTGTGTCTGTTTGTTAGTTCTGTAGTTAGAAAGTTCTTTCTTTTAATATTTCCTTAATCATATCCAGAGGTTACAGATCACCAACAACTTCTAAAATCACATGTGCAGAGATGTATGTCTGTGCCTTTTGCTTTGGAGGAAATAGGGTGTGTATTGGGGCAGATAGCAGTGGAAGGTGTAATCCAACAGGACTGCCTTTGTAGGATGCACAAAATGAAGCAGACAACCTTGTTCTCTGTGGATCTGCCAGGGAATAGTTTAATACCAGTCAGTACAGCAAATTAAGGACATAAGTAACCAAACTTCCAGCTTGGGTTGGGAGGGTTCTTTTCAGTTAGACAGATGCTTGTTTTGTTAGATCAGAGCTGTGTTGCTTATCCTCCCAGATTATCCTTCTTGCTAATGTGTGGATACATAGCATTTATCCAGGCATACCCAAATTGTCAGAGTATGTTACTACTGTCGTTGTCATGCTTATGAACAGTGGAATTGAACCATTCTCCATGTGACACTGTTTGGTGTGAAGGCAAAGTTCCTTCTGCTGTATTGGCTCTGTGCATGAATAGGAGACTTTGCACCTTGAGTTACCACTTGCAGATCTCTAAGAAGCATTAATTTCAGCATCATCCTTTTTGTTACTTTTGAAAACCCTCCCCTGTTCTAGTTAAAAAAGGCAATACCCTCCACCTCTTCTTTCTAAGGGCAAGGGATTGATGTATGTCATTTAATATACAGAAATTAATGACCCTTTAAAGAGTCTGGCCCCGGGCATCAACTGGAGGGAGTTACTGTGTCAAAGGCATGGAGGGAGCCCTTTGATGAGCAGCTGGAACAATTCTCCAGCACGGTACAGAAACACACTCACTCTCACTCTGTTTTATCCTACACTAAAGACAAAGCAAGAGATGCCAGTCAGTACCACCACTAGTGCCTGAGACATGCTTTCTGTGCAGGAGCATCGAAATAAACTCAGATCAGGGAGCAGATTTGGAAGTTCCCTTCTTGCTTTGAGAATGCAGCTTGGGAAATCAGCCTTTATTCCATGCTCCTTATTGCTTTCATCAGGCTCTTGAACTGCTGTGTAATGCCCTTGATAAAACTGCCTGGAACATATTTACTTTGGCTCCGACTTCCTTGGTTGCGTGGGTGTAGAAGAGACACTGGGAGAAGGGTGAGGTGTGAATGTTTGTTGCAGTTATTGTAAATGGGGGGGAATAATTATGTAACAATTTAGTGAAGCAATGATATATTTTCTGAACTAGCTGCTTCTTGAATATAATACAAAAAAAAATGCAGAGATTGTGTGCTAGTAACCTCCCTTTCTAACAAGCTTGCAGATCTCTCTCCTTTCCCCCCTCTTATGGAAAAACTATTTTTCAAAGAAAAATTACAGGAAACTTTGTTCTATGATAAAAATATTTCACAGAAAAGAGGGTAAAATCTACTATTTTAAACTTACTACTGAAGCATCTTCATCTTTCAAAGGCTATACTGTGTCTAATTCTGTAAAACGGTGGGATTTTATTTCAAAGCATATAATTTTTAATACTGGATTGATTTTTCATCATTCAAAAGTAAATAATTACACTTTTATTATTAATAAATAATTATTTCATGAGTAAGACAAGAAATAATCTCTACCTATTACCTTAATTAAATACAATGTAATTATTATTCTTACAAAAGTTAATGAAATTTCATTTCAGTAAGCGGGTAGCTATCTTAGACATGACACTTTTCATAAAATATCTGAATAGTTTGTCTAGAACAGGCAAAATATTTAAACCTCTATGCCTCTCCTAGTAAAATAAAAGGCATCCATTTTGACAAAAACATTGCACAGGTGTATGAGAAGGTTTCCAAGCCTGAAAATGAATAATAGAACAAAAATGTGCTGTGGACCTATAAGTCTGTTTGTATTTGGACGTAGGAATGTGCCCTGCATCCTGCCTGCCAGTGAACAATCCCTTCCTTGTAAACAGACAGGAATTTACAGGTCTGGGCTGAGAGAAATGCACAGGCACACACCTACAGATCATCTATGTGAGAGAGATTTAAGAGAATATTTCATTTCAGCCCCATAACTAAAAAACTACTGAACAGGACATTCCCTTCCCGTGGGCTCTCATTAGCTCTGTCTCTAGTTTTCACCCTGCCAAGGTTATTACCAGTATGGCACAGGGGTTTAGGCCTTTTAGGGACTTTTTCTCTTGCAGGGATTTGTGAGTTTTTGCAGAAGCAAGCAGCAAAGCTCAGCTCCCTGGAGCCCTTGTGCTGATGAACTGATCTAGGGGATTTAAATTTTTTTAAAAAATTTTATTTTAGGACCTCAGTAGTCCTAAATGTATGTAGTGGTGTTTTAGTGGTCTAATGTTTTTCGGACCTGCCCATAGAGCATCTGCCTTTTGTCTTTCTGCTGTGGTGTCATCACCATTCAAGTTACCATTTTCCAGGCAGTGATTTTTTTAAGAAGCTAGGACAGAGTTGCATTCCTGCACTGGGAACACAGGCAGCAGCATGGTCCAGCAACTAGTATGCAGTGGGAGAAGGTGAGAGGCTAAAACATCTCCCCACCTCTGTAGCGGTAGGGGCCTGGCTTTGCTTAGTTTATGTGCCAGAAGGTGTGTCTGATGTTATCCTCACCAGCCCTGGGCTCCAGGGAGTCTCTCCTACCTTGTCTCCAAGTGACAGGCAAGAGGGTCCTTCAAGCTATATGGGGGCTAAACTCAGATGTTTTTATTTCCTGGCTCAGGGAGAGATTCTTATATTTAAAAGCCCTTTTACAGGACCTCTGACCTTTATCTTGGTTAAATATTAGCCAAAATCCCTTGACCCTTCCAATAAAACCTGAAAAGCAAAACCAAATATTTAGCCATTAATCAGCTTGTGATTTTGTCAAGGGGTCTCTGTTGCAGCAATTCTGGGTCTTATACTGGTACCAGGTGTTCCTTCAGTGGACAGATGAGGGTGTTATGGACTAACTACATCCAAATGAGTTCTGTTCTTATCAGCTTCTGTAAGAGGGCACTGTACAAGGCTTAGGAATAGTTTGTTCTTTCTAATTCCACTACATTTTCCCCATGTCTGCATCGACTGCAGTCCCGTTTGCAGGTTTAGATTTGCTATTCCATGAAGAGTCTGTGGGAATGTTGTTACTGGGCACAGAAATCAGGCCATGTGGGAAAAAGTATTCCCAGTTCTCTTCATTGCAAGGGCACTTCACCAAGCAATCAGAACAAGTGATCCTGTGAGAAGGGCAGGCAATTACAAGGCACAACCAAACACCTTGATTAGGTGAAAATCCAGCATCTAATCTGCTGCTTTAATCCACATCTGAAACAGGAATTAGGGTTGTAGATTCTTAATTCCTCCTTATGCACCTTTTCAGTGTTGTGGAAGTACTAAGGGGTTTTATGGGTTCTCACAGAGCAGGTAGTTGATGACAGAAGTGTGTCATGCAAGCGTGAGCTGTTCAGGTTTCCATTCAAAATATGGTTTCCTGCTTTGGGCAACATTTGTGAATTTATGTTAGTCCAACTCTGGCATTTCTCAGTCTCCTCAGTCCAATTATTGCTTTGGAGTTCAGATACGAATGCCATGAGGACACAGTTACCTGAAGGAGCTGTAGTTACTACTGAAGGAAATTTAAGAGGGCAGAAGGCCCTAACTTTTCAGTGCAAATGTATTGTCTAGCTAAAAAGAAGGAAAGAAGATGGGGGGAAAAATAGTGGAAAACTCTCAAGTGCATGCTTTTAAGCAAGCAAGCAAATAAAGTAGGGGAAAATGAAAGAGACAAATAAATATGTAAAAATTAGCAAAATATCTCTTTGGTTGCAAAACCCGAAGAGTTTGCAGTGGCTTAATCCAGGATAGTTCCTTAATTTTTTCTTTTTTTTCCAAAGGTGTAAGTGGCCCTTGAATTTCTGAAGTGAGGACAGCTTATAGCTATTATAGAGCAGGATGAAAGGCACATTACCTACTAAAGTTTTGTCCTCCCTGGAGCCTCTGGCCACTGTCAGAGACAAGATTATTGCAGCAGATAGGTGGACTGCAGCCTAATCCAGTTTGGCGTGTCTTTCCCTGTGACACATACAGACGCTGCCTCAGCGAGGAGACCGGAATATCCTGCTCCGACCACGCTGTGTCTGCATTTGCCTTCTCTGATTTGAGAAAGCCATGTCTGACTTGAGTGTGAACAGGGAGCTTTCCTGAGTGAGTGCCCTTTGCTTTCACAGACATCTGTGTTTGTTGAGGGGCAGGCAGGGGAATCTCGGACTGTTATGTGACTGTAGTGGTCACCACTCCCACCAGCCCATTCCAAACGCAGAGATTCCTGTGTCGCCGCAGAGTCTGTAGGAACTTGAATGAGAGTGCAGAATGGGAGAAACTGAAAATCAGATTTACAAACACAAAGTGAAAGAAAGAATGTGACAAGAGTAGTAGTAGCCTGTTTATTTTAATTAAGCAGGATTCAGCTGACATCATGTGGGAGATTTCCAGCCCACGCAGAGGAACGGTGATGACATCCCCAGCATTGCAGTGCAAGGATGAGAGGTGGAGACACCGTGTCTCCCTGAGCGTGCCTGGGAGAGGGCAGGGGCCCTTCCAGGAGCCCGGTGTCCCACCTGCACTGGAGGCAGCATGACACACTGCCCAGGTCCAGACTCGCTTCAGCCCACTGACACTTTGTGTTCTTGGTACTTCTGTTGAAGTAACTCTGAAAAATCCCATACAAGGATTATGCAAGTCCACTGATGCACTGACAGATCCACTGTCCCCTCTTAGGAAACTTTATCCTCCATATCAAGACAATATGCCATAGGTAAAAGGTGGAAAGTGAGACATTGATAGATTTGTGCTTTGAGTAACTGATCAAGAGGAATTCTTACCACCCACTCCTATGCTGGTGAGCAGTTGTTTGCCATTGCCACTGGAAACCCTGGTCTGGTGATGGTCAAAGCAGGAAGGACAGTTATTTTCCCTGTAACTGGTTATTCAAGACGGACTCGTGCAATCATCTGATCATCTCAATGTCCCAGTGTTTCTCAGTCTAACTATATTTAATGGGTAAATAATTTGATGTCTGAAAGTCACCTGGGGTTGCACTCTTATTTTTCCGGCCATTCAGTATATCCCACTTTCTGGAAAGCACATAGAGCACTGTGTCTTCACTTTGAAGAGCAGAAGCAGCCTGTTGTGGGGAATATTAAAGGTTCCAGATTTTCTCCTCCTCCCTATTTCCACTTTCCAAATGAGGCACTACAAGCACAGAGTTAAAAGGTCAGTAAAACTCATTTGCACCTGAACAAATCATGTTCACTGTTCTGGCCTCAGAAAGGGTCACCCATACATGTTTTTCAGAATGAAACATCAAAAAGAAACTGAGATAGCCCTGATCCTGCAAACAGACATGTTCTTAGCCTGTATTCCAGCTGGCCTGTGTTACATGTAAAGTCAGTCAAGCTCATCCCTCAGAGAGGTTCCCCCCTGTCTATGCCCTCGTGTACCGTGGTAGTTTGGACAGAGGATCTATTCACATCCATGTATTTTTTAAACAGAGTTATTGACATTTCACTTCTCTCTATCTCCTCGTTTCTTTTTTTTTTCCCATGTGAATGTGTGTTAAAACAACTGCATCTTCAAGCCATGCTTTTAGCTCAGAGGCAAAATGACTTTGCTGAAGTCTAGGACCAATCTGGATGGACATATAGACAAAACACTGAACGGAAAGACCCTGTGTGTTTCAGAAGAGGGTTTCAAAGGTCCCAAAAGGATTTAGATGACAGAGACATCAGTAGAGAATAATTCAGTGGAGAAAAAGGGGCATCCAAATTTTACTGTGAGTGACCATTCCATTATTCCGGGGGAGCCCTTTAATGCTCAGAACTTGAAAGGATTTCTAAATGTTATCTACTCCAAACAAAAGAGAACATGAGCAGCTGCAAATGCTGAGCTGGGTTATAACTTTCCCTTGTAAAGCATCAAGGAACTTTTATTTCCTTGATTGCCATCTAGTGGAAATTTTGCTGTCTGCATTGCATCGTTCCTAACACCATTTCCATCTCGGAGTTCACTGAGCTGTACAAGTGATTGCACCACTGAGATAAGGGGCAGCTGATGTTCTCTGCTTTGTAAAGTACAGCAAGGACTTGCTAGATCAGGACGTTACACTGGAAGGTGCAGAGTGGCAGAGGTGTTGATGAGACCTTTATCTTTCACTGACATCAGTACGTTGCCAGCAAGAGGTGAGGCATCGGGATGGAAGGGTTAAAGTCATAACCTTGTCATCTCTCAGGTCACAGGTTATTCATGATGCACACAGTTGGTGTGCGAATGGCCCCATCCAGTCAGGCCAAAACCAAAGTGTAGATCAATATTAATATTTCTAAGCTATATTTCCTTCACCTGGGACAATTGCATTCTACAGATTAACTTAGTACTATTTTAGAAGGTTATAACAACTGTGTTAAGATGTGTTACTGAAATAAATGGGGTTATATCACAAAAAAATGCTACTGATTTTTTCAACCCACAGTTTGAGCTGAACTGTAGTGTTCCTTACAAGACTCAGTAAAGTGTTCTTTGAAAACATTTTGAAATGTCAATCCAGATTCCTGAAAAGTACCAGAATAATTCATTTTGGAGAGTGTTCATTCATGTGGAGACACCGGAATGCTGGTTAGATTACAGCTCTGCAGAGAGTCACATTTGGCCTGACCCTTATTCCTGTGATGTTTTTTTCTTGCTTCTTCCCTGTTTTTCAAAACTTCAATGGCTTTCCTTCAAGAATTGTATGAGATCACCCACACTCAGCCCTTAAGAAAGCAGCTAAGTGTCTAACATTGTTCCAGGCCTCCTTGTATTAAAGTCCCACCAGTGCCAAGCATTTTGGCACCGAATCAGTGTATCCATGTCATGTGCTTGTATCCACTTGCCTCCCCCTCTCTCACCAGCAATCTTTTACTCAGTTTCCTTCTTGAGAAGGACAAGACTTCTCTTCCTGCCACCCTGATGAGCTTCATGCAGCCTTGTCCAAACCTTTGCTGAAGCAATGCATGTTACTCATGGGCCTGTCATTGGAAAGCAACCAAAACCTCACTATTCAGAAGCCCTGAGACACTAAAAGCATCAGCAACCCCTACAGAGAACTGCTGGCAACTAGCCTCAGTACTTAAGCAAAGTGATTCCCTTTTGCCTTTAAAAATAAATATCAGTTTCCCAGATAAGTTGCATAACTGGAAGTTTTTTGTAACTCTCCTAGTCACTAGACTGTATTTAATTAAATCAATTGTTGGGTCTTGCCTATTAATAAAGCAAGTTTATCTTTAGGACAAATTCTTCTTTTTTAATGTTGTCTTTTTCTGTATAGGAAAAATAGCACCCAGTAGAAAATCGAAAAGTCCTTTAGAAAAATCTTTGTTAATGTTTTTCCTTCTTCCTTTTTCTTATTTTTAAATAAAGATATGCAGAGCCTCGAGAAGTTGCTGAGGGATGCAATAATATATGGGCAGCCTCGCACCCACAGAGCATGGAGAAAAATTATCATCCTCGTGGAGGGGATTTACAGGTATGTGTGTGTTTTAGAAAGATGAGTGTCCTGTCATTTCTGAGGACAGAATGATATATTGAGTGAAGGGAACACTGACTTTAAGTATCTGAGGGAAATCTTAATGAGATTGGAAGTTACAATAATGTTCTGTGATCTCATAAATACGTTAATTTCCATTATATCAGCCTGAACCCTGGATCCTGTAGCTCCAGTGGGGTGTTCTGAATCTTGATTTAGCAAATCACAGTGGAGTGGGAGATGTATTGAGAGCAAGACGGATCAACTGGTGTTTGTTGTCACAGATGTGATAAAATTCATGGAGCTATAGTAGGTGAGTTCTGCTAAGTGAGTAAATTGAGTTTTCTAGAGTTGTTATGCATGGACAGATCAACAGACAACTACACTGAATTAGTTAAGCTCTGTGTGCCCAGTTCTTACCCAGCTGCTAGAATCTAAAATCCCAAACTAAACTTAGGCTAAGTGTATCAGCACCTTTCTGGTAATTAGTGCTGGATCTAACAGACTCACACTTTAATAGAAAAACAATTAAAAGACTGGCTTTTAAAGAATTATTTGGTGGTATTCCATGTAGTCCTAGTCCCTGGAGGAATTCGAATGAGAGGCACCTTTGAGAATCCATCAGATAATACTGGCATCAATAACACCATGCAATTATAGGGCATCCTAGTCAGGTAGCTCTGGTTCACTCTTGTGGTGCAGTTTACACCCAGTCAGAGACAAACAGTCACTATAGTTGAGCAGCAAAGCAGTGGCACCAGCCAGACTCACCATCCTAGGCTGTTTTCTCCAACCTCTCCAGTCAGGAGAGCGTTACTGGGAAGGCAGCCATGGGGCTCGTGGATGGCGTGGAGGGGAAGCCACTGGTAGGTAAGTTGGAGAAGGGAAAGGCAGAGATCATGAAGAGGAGGGAAGGGCTCAAGAAGCAGTGTTTGTACAGTAAGAAGGTTTTCAGGTATCTAGGCAAGGCTGCTGCAGTGATGACAGGAGGGGAGGAGCAGGAGAAGGGTAATTTGGGAAGTAGCAACACCTGCCCCAAAGAGAAGGAAACTAGAAGCTCTCATTCACAGGACATGACATGGTTTATAAAAGCAGCATTAAACTTTATATGTAGGGATCATATCCTGTGTTGCTGAAATACAGCCAGGCTGGATGGGCAGTCGCTTATGCCGTTTTACTGTAAAATGCTGGCTCAGTTGAGCCAGTTAGCTTTTTTTGTAAGAAATCTCTTACAATCTCATGTCATCACAACTTCATAGTTGTCAGTGCTTTCTTTCCACCGAACATTTTCCATCTGCAAAGAGACCAAATCAGTCCTTATCTAAACACCTGTCAGTCAGATCTGAAACAGGTCAGCAGCAGATCAGCTGATCCAAAGCAGGCTGAATGTGTCCTTTCAACCAGAATAAACAGAGCAAAACTGCAAATAAACATCACTTGGCACTACTAAAAGAAAGCTCAGATTTAAGGGCTTTGATCATGCAGAAATTAAGTGGACCTCCAACATTTTACTGACAAATATCCCCACTGGTCACATGGCTGGCAGAAAAACCTCCAGCTGCTGAGCTTTGTTCGCTTTTAAATCCTTTACCCTGAATATTGACCACGAGAGAACATGAAGGTAGATTGGTGTCACAGAAGCATAGATCATTCCAAGCAGTAGGACAAACCCACTGTCAGATATTTACTATATTAACCATAATATAGTAAATATTATATATATTTTCAGATTTAGGTTTGATGTAGAGTTTTCTTTTCCTCTAGTTTTGCAGTTGGTTTCAAAAGGAGATTTCATTTTCCAAAGATCAAAGAACCTTCTGTTGGAATGCAAAATAAAAACATGTTAAAGCTCAGAGTACCTCACTGAAAAGGAAGCATAAAGTTCCTTCAGCTCCATAAAGGCTAAATAATATTAAGACCACTTGTGCCCTGAGTGTCTATGCTTCTGACAGGCATAAAGTAGAAGAAAACCAATGCTCAGCTCTCTGATAGTCTCTCGTTGGAAACCAGCCCTAGCAATAGCTGAGTTGGTTGCTTCATTAGTTGTTTCCATAGTCCAAGCAGATCAGAAATTGCAGAGTGTGGTTTGGTTGTAAAGCAAGTCTGCTCTGGCTGCAGGGCCAGTGCCACCACACCCCACCGTGCCATGTCCCTGCCACCACTGCCAGCCCTGGGCACTGCTGGGAACAGGCTCACAGCCCGGGTAGTCTAATCCAGTCAGTAGCTAAGAACATTTCATAGGCAAAAAAAAAAAAAAAATAGCTGGAGAAAGACATATTAGAAATACTCTTTTTGTGTGCATGTTCTTTCCTTTCTTGGCCCACACTTGTTGAAAGACTAAAATTTTCCAGCCCCATATTGGCTAATGTTAGGTTTTCTTGAAGGTTTGCCAGATGACAAATTAACATTCGTCAAGAGGGTTTAAGAGGAGGTAGAGTGTAGTTAATGTATTCTTCTTACAATAGTTAATACTGCTTTTTTTTTTTTTTCCATAAAGGATTTAAGTTATGCTTCAGGGACAGCTAATACGGAATTTAAATAACTTGGTCAAAGCCATTCTCCAAGTTAAAATATCTTGATTTGCAAGTTTGGCTTGGCAAATTTTTACAGAAACGCTTTTTCCAGAGATGCAAAAGAAAACACTAAGCTTTCCATCTTCAAAGAAATATTGTTATATGGGACACCATAGTCTTAGTATGGTGACGTTTATGGTATGGAAAGAAATTTGCCTTCTGTTTCCATTAGGAGTATGTTAAAGTGTTTACACTGTGCATAAGCCTGGACTTATTTGCCTGGACTGGCAAAATTTAAAAAGGGTCATTGTTAGCCAACACGAGCATTTCTGGAAATCAGACTTGGTGTTTGAAACCATAAGCCACAGATTTTGCTTGGTTACAACTGAAGGCAGAATTGGCCCCTCAACTTGGGAAGAATTCAAGCTTCATGTCAAACCAATAGCAATAAGTATATGTTTGTTTGCCTTTAAATGTCTCTATTATCTTAGAAAGGAAAAAAAAAACTCATCAGAAGTAAATATAACTACTAGTGAAAGCTGGTCCTTAACTTGGACTAGCCTAGGAGCAAATCTATTCCCTTTGAGTTCCAAACTGAGGGAGACCATCTCACCATCAATCTTCAGCACAAAAAACATGAACAACTTTTGGCAGTGACCAAGGCACAAGTTAAGCTGACTTGCTAAATCACATTTTTATTATTTGAATTCCAGCTAATGTTTTCCTTGGCTTCTCCCATTTCCAGTTCTGGATTAATCAGTTACTGTGTTCTTACATGGTCCGTGGTAGGCTTCTGCTCTCTTCCATGCCTATTTACTTAGGAGTCAGATAGGCCAAGGCCCAGGGCAGGAGTTATGGGGCATCAGAAACTGATCAAAACAGATTGTTTTTCATTTGTTTTTTCCCTGCTTTTAATTTAATTTGGGTATTTTCCCTTCCAGCTAAGAAAATAGCTCTGATCAGTTAGATATTGTCCAGTGCCTTTTCATGTGCGTTAGAAGTTTCCTTGGGATTCAATGCCAATAGTGTAGGAAATTTATCAGGGTTATTTCTTATTTCCTGGGATTAAGTGACTGGAACTTCCAGAAAAGAATGAGGTAGCATTTAATGTCTTTGGCCAGGGACCAACACTGAAGGTTAACATTTCTATCATTTCAGTGTATGGAGTTGTATTTGAGGGCAGAGTTGGAAAGTTTCCTTAAAATTATTGCTCTAAACTACAAAACAGAGATTGTTGTGTGAATGTACGACGTTTATGTAAGAAAACAGTGCCTACAGTAACTGTTAAAATGGAATGAACTGTTAAAATTGGGAGTAACAGGCCAGGAAAGGAGGGATTTTCCCAATTACAAACCAGCCTGAAAGGGGAACAGATAAACTTTTCAAGTGTTGAAAACATAGCGGTACTATGGGGCATGTTTAGAGACGCTGAATGAGGCAGTTATGAAGTAGATAACAGGCTGAGTATCAGTAAATTAGTTTTCATGACAGAAAAAAAAAATTAAATTGGAACTATGGTAGCAGCTCTTTTCCCAAGAAGTTTCAAAATTACCTGGACAAAAAAACATCCTGTCAAGTTGAAGCCTCTGTTCCAAATGGAGTGACCATCACAAGTGCACACCTCCTGTCTCTCAAAGCACCTACTCCACAGTTCATCAGCTGCATCAGAAAGAATGTCGGTGGCCTGATAGGGATTGAATCAAGTTTCAAACTTCAGTGTTCCCAAAACTTGGGATTATCTTCTCATGTCTGGAAGTAGGTTCAAACTGAGTGTGTACTAACTCAAGTGTTTGTGCCTGTCCACCAAACAAGGGTGACAAGAGCCAGCTGCAATCTAGAAACTTTTCATCCCTACCACCAAGCTAAGAAATTTTGCTACAAAACAGGGTGTCATAATGAGAACATCTGGCTTAGGCAGAGCCAGTTTATGTTCATTTGCATCCAGGTTTTTTGATGTGTCTTGGGTGCTTGAGCAGATCTGGAAACAGATCCATAGGTTTGTACACAATAGCTGTTTGTACAAAAAGCTGAGTGACACAATCAGATTGCGACAGAACCATTACACTTCACTTCTGGCTCTCTGGTTTAAGCTGAGTTGACATCAATATTTACTGAAGAATTCAGTAAACTCCGTTTGGGCTTCCCAAGGGATTTTGTGAAGTGAGTTTTATCTTGAAGCAGTTCTAAACAGTTTTGCATATCAATAACCATCTGCCAGGGTCAAAAGAGAGACCAAGAGCAGAGCAGGCAGCAAAACAGATCGTCCTTTCCATCAGGAGGGCTGAGGCCTGTTTGAATGGCAGCACAGAATGCAGGCATGAATCCAGTAGCACTTTATCCATGGACACTTCAAGGCCATGTTGGGATCTCTGTGAACTGTTATAACATTTATGTCAGCCAGCATCTTTCCAGAGCAGTAAATCAACTCTGAAACTGAATACAAGTGCCTTGTTTTGCTTAGAGTTCCAAGAGAAATCTCCTACTCATATGAGTAAGAAAAGTTTTCATTAAATCTTAATGGTTAAATCTTGCAACAGCCATGAACCAGCTCCATGTATTCTGGGATTCAGCACAACTTTGTTCCCATTCCACAAATATGCAACATTTTTGATTTACCAGTTTTACTCTCATCTTTTTGAAGTTAAATGCTGAATCTCCATGAGCCACTAAGCCTAATGATGTCCATATACATGTGGGAAAACTGTTATTGTCCTTCTCTGCCTAGCTGGTCTGCCCAAGCTTTGCTGGAAGGTGGAGGGTGGGATGGCTGTTTGCTTCCCTCTGCAGAGGTGCTACTTGGCACTCTGTCCACACATCCACCCTGCAGACTGACCAGACACAGCTGAGAGCTGCCAAACACAGCAGGTCCAAGCACATCCAGTGGCTCAGGGTAGTTTTTAGCTGACTAATGCTTTGACTCTGGGCTATGTGAGGACTGTGGGCTCTGCCCTTGTATTCATTAGGAAAATAGCTGTGGTGGTTCGAGTTGCTTCTTCCTCAGCTGCCAAGTGTCATTTGGGAAAAGTGAGAAAGCCCAGTCTTCAGGAGATTGCAGTACAAGCCCACCCTTCTTTGCTGCAAGGAATCATGGTGCCAATATACAGCCCCACAGTTGCCTCTTTTATGGCTGGGCAAGACAGAAGGGCAAGATTTGCAAGCAGTCACCTACAGCCAAAATTATGCCTCCAGGCACAGGCAGCCAGGCTCTCTGAACCTCCCATTATGAACAGCACAGGCAACCCTGGTCCATGACTACTCCCTCGTGCTGTTAAACTAATGGAGACTTGCCTATGGGCAGGTCTCCTTCAAAACTGGAGACCAAACAGTTTCCAAGCTGACTCAAGAGACCAAAGGATGAAGAAGGACTAAAACGGTCAGAAATTTCCTGAGTTCTAAAAGCACATCCTGCTACTTTTGTGGTTCCAAACTTCCAGACACACAGTGCAACTAGAGTGGCAATAAAACAGCCTGTGAAAGCCACTGGTCCAGGATCTAAAAGTTTCCAAGACATTATTGATTGCACTGCTCCTTTATACTTGCTACTTGGGAACAAACTCATGTTTCTGCTCACCTGAAGCTCATTGCATTTGCAAGTGGATACACCTTAGCTGTGGGCTGTAGCCACAGAGCACTGGTTTTCCTGGCACACAGCACACTGATTTTGTGTTTGATAGGAAGTTTTTAGCATTTAAAGACCAGCTTGCTAGAGCTGGTGGAAGAGAACATGTTAAACTCATGAACATGAATACTGAGTGCATCTGAGCATATCCAAGCGTAGCTGTAGTCATCTCACAAAGGTTTTCAAGACATAAGTCTTCACAGCATTACTATGGGATATGTCATCTTTATGAGGTCAGAGAGCATTTCTTATTTATCTCCCTGGGCTTTCATTTTGCTGTACACCTCCTCTGTGCCTTCTCACTTACTGACATGGCTGCCAATAGTACAAAAGATTTGTCATCTTTTCTCATTTCTGCAAATCTCAATATGCCACTAATCATAGAATGGTTTGGGTTGGAAGGGACCTGAAAGATCATCTAGTTCCAACCCTCTTTCCACGTGCAGAGATATCTCCCACTGGACCAGGTTGTTCAAAGCCCTGTCCAATCTGGCCTTGAACCAGAGATGCCCCCCAGAGATGGGGCATCCACAGCTTCTCTGGGCAGCCTGTTCCAGTGCAGGTTCAGAATATTTCCCTTTCATGTATGGCTGTAAGAAAGTAAAAAGAAAAGGAATGGAAACTTTTTTCCTTTTGATTACTAGGTAGCAGGCCACATTCCTAAAAAGTACATACTGGGAGCAACAATTGGCCAAGTGGATTTGAGCTGCCTGTTCTAACCCCTGATTTCTGTTCACTCTGAAGACTGTGGCTACTTAAAATTATGGCACCAGCTGTGGGTTTCATGTGGTCCATCTCCTGTGTATGTTGGACCCAGCTCCCCTGCACCAGAGGAATTTTCTCTAGAGCTATTATGCCCAAATATTGGCACAGTAGCTGTTGATGAAGTAAGCAAGAACCAGAGTGAGTTATAGCAGTTCTTTATAATGCATTATAATATTTGGTTTATACTGATGAATTGTAATGTGCTGGTTTGGGTGAGTATCTCCCCCTTTCTTTATACATTTCCTTCTCTTTTTTGGCATGCTGACAATTTGCAAATGTTCAAAGACTTTGTGACTGGTTTGGATTGTTCGAATCCTAAAACTTACCTTTGACTTTTTTATACTCACCTGCAAACGGGAAAGGGTTGCAAGTTCTCTTTGAACTGTAAGAAAAAATTGAGGTTCCAGAAGGTGTTTCATGGAATAAGGCAATTAATGACTATATGTTCTGCCAATATCTTAAAGAGAAAGAGTGCAGGAGTTGTTGTTCATCCCTGATTCTCTCCACCTGCAGCATGGAAGGGTCCATTGTGCGCCTGCCAGAGATAGTCTCCTTGAAGAACAAATACAAAGCCTACCTCTACTTGGACGAAGCTCACAGCATCGGTGCAGTGGGAGCAACGGGCCGAGGAGTCGTGGAGTACTTCGGGATGAGCCCTGATGATGTTGATGTATTAATGGGAACGTTCACGAAGAGCTTTGGTGCAGCTGGAGGATATATAGCTGGCAAAAAGGTAAAAGGAAAGCATAAACAATTTAACATCAAGGGGATGGGAAGTACCTTCTTACTAGGTATGATACATTTCAGTATCTTTTCACACAGACTGCTTTACATGAACACTGTTCTAGAGTTTAGTACCACTTTTGCCTGGATCCCAAACGCACATCAAGCAGTCAGACTTTCTTCTTTTTGTCTCATGTTCACATTATGTAATTTGCTTGAGCTGGGTATTTTTTGTGCCACCCTAATGATTGTTGTTTGTCTTGGAAATATTTGGACACGTTGTGGTTGGCTAAATATACTTCCCTACATTAATTTGCATGCGGATTGCTCATTACTTTGTTTCGCATTTGTAAACAATGTGTGGGGCAATATTGAGAGATTAAAACCACAGTTTCATCCACTGATAATAAAATTCCTAAACAGTTGTGGATTGACACAGCTGCATTTTTTAGAAGAATGGACAAAGGATTACTGAGGGCCTTTTGCAATAGTAAATTGTGTGTCCTCAGTTGCTCCGCGTACATTAACAAAACAATCTCTTGCCAACAACAGATGTCAACAAAAGTAAAGCTGAGTTTGCTTTAACTGGGGGTGTAGAAGAGAAAGCATAATCAGCACCATTGTGAAATGTCATCGGTTTTGTTGCTTGACAGAGAGATCAAGTGGCTGCTGATTATTTGCCCTTTTCAGATCCTGCTGAATGTATTTTTTAAGGAGTCTGCTAAATGAGTGGGAAGCCTGTTTACACAGCCCATATGGTTGTTGTCAGGATAACATTAATAAGGGTAGCCCTACAGTAGAATAAAAGCGCTATAAGAAAGTATAAACTGTATATTTCTTACTGTCTTTTTGGATTTGCCCCTGGAGATCTTAAAAGCGGGTGTCATAATACATCAAGAGTCAATTTGCTTTGTTTCTTCGGCTTCCTGAATTTATATCTGAAGGCTGAACTCTCACCAAAGACAGTGTAGCTGATGTAACTAAAAAGTATAGAAAGGCTAGACCTGTGAAAAGTAGTCTGAAGTAATTCATGCTCTAATCCTTGGAAGTTACTTTAAATGAAAACAGGTCGTTCTTTTCACGCCTGTGTGTGTCAGTAAGCTTTGCCTCAGGCTTCTGAACCTCAGAAGCCTGCTCACCCATTCACCCACTTACATTCATTTCTGCAGCCAAAAACTCAGGGTGGCACTGTTTATTCTGCATCAGCTGGAGCACAGAAGCCTTCTCAGCTATTTAACCAAACCCTTAGGAGTACAGTTGCAATATAGCCATGCATAGCCTGTGTAAGGTTAGGTAAGTCTTTATCCTTACCATTGGAGTTACTGCATAAACTCATACAGCTCTTTTGGCAGTAATTTGTCTAATCCCCTTTGGGTTGGTTTTTTTTCTGATTTTTTTTGTTTTACCATAGTCCAATTTTCAAGCATCATCCCTTTCTCAGTAACATGAATTCAACTTTTAGCACGGTAACCACTACTCTGATATTATGCACTAGGAGGTATAAGCTGTTGCAACAATGATGATCTTAATAAGATCTGATTGCCTATCAGATCCCTGGATTCAGGAGAGTTACGGATGCTTTAGATATGCCTAGAGTACATCAGTGCTTTTTCTAGGAGCACAGATTGTGCTCTTAGTTGTACAAGGAAATGTTAAAGCAACTATACCAACTCTAACATGGCTATCCCTGCCACACTGATAGAAAGTTTCATTTGAAAATTTTTGTGCTAATAGACAAAGATAGATCCCAGTAAGGTGCTTTTCCTGAATTAGATCATGAGGCAGAGAAACTAGTCTGAAGTCATGTAGGCTTTGCTTCATTCTCAGAGAGGAACTGAGCAGCATTATTTTAAGTGCAGCTGTTCATTGTTCTTGAAATTATTTTGGCTGCTTTGTAATAAGTCTTAGCACAGAAGTAAACATTATTCTCTTCCAGACTTCTGTTGCAGCTATAACTGCCCCACTTACATGGTAAAGTATTTGCACCTGCCTGATGTTTCTTCAGGCCATGTATTAACAGTGGCAGCCAAGAAAGCAAACCAATAGCTGGTGAAACGTCCTCTTCCTTTTGCATATTCCCACTCCTGCAGTAGTTAAGAGGGAGACCTGCTGTTTGGCCAGCTCCAAGCTCATTCATGCTTTGTTTTGCTTGTGTAAGGGCCTTGTGGACTTTTTACGAACTCATTCTCACAGTGCTGTGTACGCCACATCCATGTGTCCACCCGTAGCAGAGCAAATCATCAGGGCAATGAAATGTCTCATGGGACTAGATGGGACAACACAAGGTAAGCCACCTACTTTCACTTCGTTTACTCCAGTTGCTTCCAAAGCACCTCCTGGGTGCGAGCACGTGCAACGTGTCATCCAGCAGCAAAGTAGTGTGGTAATGCAATGCAAAGGAAATCATTCTTACTGCAAAATTAATATCTAAATCACCATACTTTTAAGTGCTATCAATTCTATTTCTTTTTCCATGCTCATCCACATGCAGCAGGGATGGAAATATTTTGGAATTCTGGATCAATAGTTGCCAGCCTGTCCCGTTTTGCAGCAAGGAATAGAAATACATGAATTTCCCTTTGAGTATATTATCTGACTTTGTGGGAGGGTTCATAAGGACATGCCTTCATTTCTGGGCTAGGTGCTGTCAGTTTAGCTTCTTTGTAAGTTTGGACCTTCAAAATGGCAAGCAACACAAGCATGGTGCAGCCTTTCAGAACAGGTATTGTATGTTAAATGACAGTATGAGGAGATGATTGTAATAATTCCTACCTCGCTCAGATATCAATTATGGTGTCCAGAAGCTAGTTCTGAAGTACGTTTTGTCCCTGAAGAATTGGTTGCTTGGTGTCTTTATGAAAAACCAGGTTTATTTCTATTCCTCTCCTGAAGTTGTAGATGCAGCTGCTGTCCAATCCTCTGTGTAACCTGCTTTCTATACAGCAAGCAACAAAACAGCTGTGTGACATAGCTATCTGCCACTGTTTCAAAGTGATGCTGATATGGATTTGGTATTCTAGGACTTAAACCCCAACATGGAGAAAAACTGATGGTTTTTGAATTTGTATAGTTTTTTCAGGAATTCCTTTGAGTCAAATTATTGTGTAACATGCAGCTAAAGACACAGATTCTGCTCTGAATTGCAGTCTCTCTTATACTGGTCCAGCAGCACCGTGCTGTGCTATTTTCTCTTTGTCTGAGGCTAGCAGAATTAATTCTGTATTAGTCCTCCCTGATAGATTTGACTGGGGTAAGGAGGGAATGGGGAAGAAAAGGGTAGATGAGAGCAGGTGAGATACTGCTTTACACTATTCTGTTGCACAGCCCTAGAGGGCAGTTTCAAACCACAATAGACGTGAAGATATTAAGACATTTATCACAGCACTTCAATGAGGCCAGAATTTACAATCCCCCAGAGTACAGAAGGAGGGATAGGGAATCCAGTGCCAGTGCCAAATTCTGCTGAGTGCAACAGCAAAACTGCAGCGCGATGTGCAGACGATGAGCAAGCGATGCTTTTGTTGTTTTGGCAGAGAAGTCAAGAGTGGAGCAACTGCTTGAAATTTGAAAGGTCAGGCTTGCATATGCTGATGCCTACATCCTGTTCAATATAAGAGACCAGCTCTGACATCTTTCTTCCACCTCGGGGCTGCTCTCTGCCCTGGCGCTTGCCGTGAGAGGGCGGTCTGACACCGAGCCTTCCCAAGACTTCCAGACTTCAGGCACTCGGAGATGCTGCTGTGTGTAAAACATGAAACATGCAGAGCATTTCCAGGCCTTCAAAGTCTGTTACAAATGCTCTTCAACTAGCGTGATTCTGCATGCAGTTCAGTGCAGGATAATAGGACAACTTGGTTCAAGGCAGAGTCTTTTAAGATGTGCGTGTCTGTCTTAGGGCTGAGAGTTTGAAGCATTCTCTCTTCCAGAAGCAGAGTTGTTTAATGACACAATGTTTGTCTTTCTGCACAGAATAAGAGCTTAATAAGTCTTCTGCATATCCTTTATGAAATAAATTAGTGCTTTGTCAGTTTTTTAAAAAGTGTCTTGTAATGTGAAATGCAAATGAGTAGAAAAACAAATGAATAAATCATATATCACAACTTTAGAGCATTGCACAAAGGCTAGCAAACTGGCTATGATGTGTAAAAATGTGTCTTGTCCTTCTGAGCCAGACCCATTATTTTAGTCCATTGGGTTTTCTTTCATGTGGGCCTCCCTTCATTAGGCTGTCTTGTGGACTACAAAAAAACCCCACAACCCAAAACACAGGAAAAAATGCTGTGCTGGACCACATTACAATGCTGCTTTGGCACCAGAGAGAGGAAGGTGGTGGCTTAGAAAGGAGGGGAGAACAGAAGGGAGAAAGCACTGTCTCTTCTTAAATATTTTTTATGCCAAGGACAACAGTGACCTTGGCAGAGTTCTTTTAGTCTGCTGACATAGAAAATGGTGAATCCTGCACATAAGTCATTGTTGTGAGGGAGTGAGCTCTGTAGCAGAGACACCTGACAGAAAAGTTTCAAGTGGTACGCAGGGTGCGACAGACCATTTGTTCTCTGGAAGCCTGTTGAATTCATAGAAAGAGTTTATTTTACAATTTATCTCTATTTACATTCTCTTCCCACAGGATGATTTAGGGAATACTTTATAAGGAGATGTCCACTGATGGCTTGTCCTCCAGAGGTCATTTCTGTAGGGGAGGGGGCCTTGAAAAAACTACTGGAAATGCTTTGCAGAAGAGTGAAATTAGAATTTGCTAGAAAGTTCCATGTGAACTAGAGGATGCTTTTTGAAAAGAGGATGAAATAAGGGGATGACAAACATCGTAACACATAAGCATGTTCTTATATCTGAACTTCATGACTGACTCCTCAGCAGATAATTAGAAAACTAAGAGAAGGAAGGCTGTTTGGTGATTTAAATTGCTGCTCCAAAAAAATCTTTATTTTTTAGTCCTTCACACAGTATTTTATATTTTTCCAGATATGAGGCTCTTACATTCCCTTCATTTTCTTGCTAGTTATTCTCCACTAATTTGTTGAGCAAGCAGGTGATCTAGAAGAGAGTAGAACAGGCGGAATTATATAGTAGGTCAAGCCAGAGGCCAGAAGTGCAGTAATACTCTTGTGTTTATCCTAGTGTATATTCAGCTGATTGATCTTCCATATTTTCTTCCTTTATTTTCAATTACTAAAATATGGTTATTCATTTGGAAGAGGAATGGTGATGTGCATTTCTAGGATAAGATCAATATACTGGATGCCTGACTGCAGGATACGAACAGATGTTTATAGACACAAGGGGTACATCTTCATTACAGGGAAAGAACAGGTTAACACTTTAAAAGTAATTCTGTGAAACTTATACTGTTCAGCTGGAAATTATCCACAGCAGGTGCCTGTGTCAGGCTACAATGCACAAATATGTGGGGATGTCCCATATCAGTATTTGTGTTAGTTGTGAGATATTAATGTCACAGCAGTGTAACTGGGAGGATACTGCAGAGCCCACAGCCAGCTTTTATAGTTTCCTTGTTTTGTCATGTTTTCTGTGATGAATTGAGAAACTGAGGAACAAGAAATGCTGAATAAGAAGAAGGTACTAGCTCCCTCAAAACTGATATACACTGTTGATCCTGCCTGGGAAGGAGGAATAGGTTGAGGTTACTATGACCAAATGCTTTGTTTCTTGAGTGACTTATATCAAAAGAGTCAGAAGTTGACTACAAAAAAAAGCAAATGTATTTCCATTTTCATGTGAAATCAAATTTTTAGTAGAGTACAAGTTCTGGTGTTATCCAGTGCCATGCTTTACAGGACTCTGAAAATCAATGGCTTGTAGAACAAGACACATTTGTTCTTAGTAACATAATGTCATAGATACCATCATAGCTCCTATAATAGAGTTGTTCTAAAGTGTATGAACTCCTGGCAGCTGTATTTCCATTAGGAATGTCATAAGGCAAGAAGCTCCACAGTTCAGTTCATATAGTCTATTTAAAAAAAAAAAAATCATTTTATCCCTCTTAAGCCTTAGTGGCCTTTTCATCTCAAATGTGTCTCTGCTCATTTATTAGGAAATATGGGGAGCAGAAGTTCCCATGGCATTTATTCTTTAAAATTCATAATATAGATATTCTTTATGTGTTCTCCTCATGGCTTCTCATTACACCACTGGAGATACCTCAGGAAATTCAGCTGCTGCCTTAGTGGTTTTATCCCCGTGATGAGACTGCAGTTGACTCAGGGTGTTTGGACTCTGCACAAATTTTGAAGTACCCTTGCTTGCATGCAACACAACCCCTCCAGCTGTGACCTCAGACCTCTTTTTTCCCCCCTTTCTGCATGAGAATACCAAAAACATATTTTTACATTTAAATTTGATAGGTAAAAAGTAGAACCACTAGGCAGACAGAGTTAAGACTGTTAGAAAATCCAAAGCAATTTTCTTGATGACTAATAATAGATTATAGTGGTGTAAAAAGCAAATTGCAGCATTTGCAAAGGCATCATTTTTCTGTTTAAAGCATGGCAAACAATAATTCACCAACAACAGTGGGCATTTTTCATATGTTTTTATGGGATGCTGAAAAATGTGAAACCCTGTCCTCTGGAATCTACTGTTAAAAGATTTGTTGTGTTAAAAGATAATTCATGAGATAGTTTAGATTTAAAGCGTTTCTTTAAAGTGTTAATTTCCTTTGCCATTTGTGCTGATTGGTTTATCTTTTTGCAACGACTAGTTTTCATTTTTGTTTTTAACAAACTCTGCGTTCTTGCATTTGAGCTCGTTCACATTGTGAGAAGTGGCAGAACACTGCTTTCTGTTTCAGCTTGGCATCAAAAAAATTGTTTTTACAAGTTCCTTTTTAAAACATTTCTGTCTGCCTTAGATTTTTTTTGCAACTGAAAGATCAGCACCTTAAAAGCAGTTTCCAGCATTTTCCTCTGCTATATGTGCTCAACAGTCCTTTGAAAAAAATTAGCTTTGCTTTGTCAGGGTGCTTTGTAAATGCAGAAACCTTGGTTCCACATCTCTACAATCTGGCATAAAGCAGCCCTGATGCAAGGAAGAGCAGTCTTGTCCTCTGTTTTTTTCTCCCTCTGCCTATCCCCCTTACTCCTGCCCCTTCTCCCTTCACCAGCATTAGTGTTGATACAGCCATGAATCAGAGAACTGATCTAGCTGAAAAATAACCAACCCTCCCACAAATGGTTTGCCTACAGCCCAGCTGGTTCCCTGAGCCAACCTGCCATATGGCTACATGAATCCCAGTGCCAGGACT